AAGTTTTATTTAAATATTTTAGCATTTTAAAAAAGTAAATCAGAGCTAAAAAAGTGCAAAAACGCAGGCAAATTTGTTTGTGTTGGTTTACATATTAAGGGATAGTATTTTACTTTTTTCTTCTTAGTACAAATGAATAATTCACCTTTTCTTCATAATAATGATTTTGACTCACCTTTACACTGACGATGCTTCTAACCCACCTTTTCTTTCTATTAATGACAGTTTTAATACACCTCTTTTTCATAATAGTGATGCTTCTAACTCACTTTTGCTTTATACTAACGATGCTTACAATTTACCTTTGTTTCAGAATAATGCTTATTCCAGGTTTACAGATAATATAATGACTTCTGAGGGTAATTTGGATAACTTTAATGAAAAACCAAACTTGGAAAATACTTATAATAATTTCAACAAGGAACAACAAAATTCAAAGAATACTTTCAATGATTTTGACAAGGAAAATGATTTTGATTTTGAGAATGATGATTTTGAGGATGAAGCTGAATGTACAGGACCTACATATTCACTAACTGTGAATCAGGCTTTTCAAACTTGGAAAGAAGTTGATGAGTAGGTATACTTTTTTTTATTACACAGAAAAGTTTAAGATATACTTTTTTTTATTACACATGGAAAAGTTAATATAGATTGTTTAATATACATTTACTTTTAGGAGGTTGGAAAATTATAGTAAAGAGAAGAGTTTCACTTTCTGCATAACCCATAGCAAAAATGATAAAGTAGATAATGAACCTCGGCGTCAGATATATACATGCACAAAGGGACAAGCATATGTACCACGCAAAGAAGCCCATACTCTTGGTAAAAGAGATCAAGACTACAAATCAATAGAGTGCTCTTATCATATAAACATATACTGGTGGAAAAATAACAATCAAATCTGTATTTCTAATATTATTGGCACATATAATCATAAAATGATCCCAAATATTACAATGGTTGAATCAAGGTATCATCGGCTAACTAAAGAAATGCAAGATGATGTTAGATTACTTGCTTCTTGTAGTGTTCGGGCTGGTGCAATTATTGAGGTTCTATAGCAAAAATATCCTAAAAAATATGTTCATCCCCGTAATATATACAACATAATACAAACTATTTGTTATAAAAAGTGTATTGTGGGTGATGCGAGTAGTACCTATTTAGAATTAATTAAAAAACAGCGTGATGAACCTGGTTACTACGTTAATGCAAAGTTTGAAGAGACTAACAATTATTTAGTTGGACTTATGTAGATGCAGCCAAGTCAGATTCAATTATTAGGCAGATTCCATGATATAGTTCTTATAGATACTACCTTCAAGACAAATAAGTATTCGATGATGCTTTGTATATTAATAGTCATTGATAATCACAATCGCTTACGTTTAGTAGCAACTGCTGTAATATCAGATGAGACAAGTAATACTTTTTTATGGATTCTTAACAATTTACTTGAAGCATCAAACGGTCTGGCTTCAAAAGTATTATTCACAGATGCTGATTGTGTGATGGTTGCTGCAATAAGCGAGACATTACCAAACACAAAGCATCATTTTTGTCTTTATCATATTCAAAAAAATCTTGAGAAGCACTTTTTAAGTAAGTATAAAGGAGAGAAATAGGGAGAATTTTTAAAGAGTTCTGCCATGTACGAAATAGCCATGTGAAGATGATATTTAAGAAACATTGGGCATGTTTGTTGCAAAAATATTCCGATTCCAGACCATATTTGGAGAGGCAGCTTTATCCTTGTAGAGAATCATGAGTGCTTTGTTTTACACACAGGTCATTCAATGCAGGTGTCCAAACTACATAGAGAGTTGAGTCTTATAATGGAATTATTAAAAAACATATTAATGGGTCATCATCTTTATTTGAATTGAGTAATACTGTTGAAAGATTACTTCTTAAAGAGAACCGGTATCAATGTTTCAATAAAATTGCAGGTGTATTACCTGAAACCCACAATAAGGATTATTACAACAGATATTTTGACTTGGTTGATAAATCATACCAAAAGTTTTTAACAATGGCAATACTTAAAATTCAACGCCGTGAAATGAATCTTAGTATCTACTATCATGTGCAGTTAATTAATTTGGCAGATGGACTCCAAAGTCGGGTATGTTATAGGAAATTCTATATAATAACAAAAAATAGATAAGATTTTTAATTAATATTTGTGAAGCTTAACAATTTTATTTGGTTAAGAATCGGTTTTTTTTGTTGTTTTTTTTTTTTTTTTTATAACAATTTTATAGTTAGAATATCAAAATCTATAAGTAAAAGAACGAATTCGTGTATTTAAACTTAATAATCTTTCTTTAATAGGTAACAAATGAGGTATCAGCTAGAATGTTTGCTGATGATATGTTTGATGCGTTTGTCATCAAACTTGAAGAGCTAGTGTGTGATTTGGATTATATACATATTCATGAGATCTGGAGGGTTTCATCAATTGATATGAAAAGTCAATATTATATAGTACTTTATGATGAAGCTGCTCATTTATGCACTTGTTTAATATTAATTAACTGTGAAATTGTTTGTAAATATTACTTTGTAATAATGCTAGTTTCAAAAGTTGCTAGGTTTTATGTTGGGCTTATATCACATAGGTGGTATTTGGATAAGGTTGTTTGTGATAAAGAAATAAGTATTACTAATGAGCCAGCAGTTTTAATAATAAATAATGAGAATTTTGGATCATTTAAGCATAGCATTCAAGTTAATTTTGAACATCTTGACAACATTCGAGGTAGTTACGTTTTTACTCATAAGGTTCACAAAGAGATGTCATTTAAGCAGCGGTGGGGCAAAGGATTTGGCATTATGAAAAAAATTCTTGATTTGGCAATTGCAACAGGACATTATAATAAATTATGTGAATTGCATCTTAATCTAGTAAAAGAAATGAAAATGGAAATTCTAACAGATGATTCTTGTAATGTAAGAGATAATAACATTGATCAGTTAGCACTTTCAATTAGCAATCCAGTTGGTGTTCATTCAAAGGGTTGGAACAAAAAGACACAAAAGAAGCATCTATCAATGTAAATAAAATGTCAAGAATAGGTAATGAATATTAAAATAAATTGTGTAAATTTTTTAAAGCTCGAATATAATTGACTAACTTTATATGTATGAACTAGGAATCGATGAGAATTCTGCTAGTCAAGAGAAGGTATTTCATCATTACAGTATTTGTAGTCAAGTGAAGTTCAATGTTTAAATATGTAATTTTTACATCTAAAATGATCAGATAGTTAGTATGAGTAATGAAAGTAACAATCAAAATAATCGATTATTACCAAATACAAGGCATAATATTGAAATTTCAAATTCAGCAAATATGGGTAAGAAAAAGTTTATATTATCAAGTAGAATAGTAATATTGATACTAATTATTAGGTATTGTAGTCGACAATACTTGTCATGAAAATAGGTCTTGACGCTATAGTGCTTGTAGTCGAATAGGCCACAATGCTCGTATGTGCAACTTGGATAATTCTGTTCAGGAGGGCTATAATCGTGAAGATATCAATTGATCGCCATTACTAATTGCAAATGATAATGTTAGAAGTTTAAATTCATCGAGTACAGGTGGGTTAAGATTTACAATAAGCTAACATATATAGTCAATTAATAATACTAATTATTGATTTTATGTATTGTACGTAGTGAATAAGGATAAGGCTTGTCGCTGTGGTACTTGTGGACAAGTAGGGCATAACGCTCATACATGTAACTCTAAAAGTAGTTCGTAAGTATAGATAAAGCAGTTATATATTCAAATGCTAATTTGTCAAATTTATGCATGTTTATATGGTTATTGCGAAGTTGTGTCTATTTGCATTCACTTTTTATTGTATATGTTTGTATTGTTGTATATGCTAGAGTTTGGAATTGGTTATATTAACACATTCTAATATATGAAAAGTAAACTTGATTCTAAACTCTGACATATTGTGTAATGTTTGCATATCATATTGACTTGTAGTATGTTTCTTTGCATGTATATGTATAATATGTATATATTTGTTTGTATGTTATTGACATGCCATATTAATACTAATAAAGTATTCGATCGAACTATTGTATAGTAAAAATGTATCAAATTATTTAATGAATAGTTGTAATGCTTTATAAATGGGATACTAATGTTAGCAATACCCCGGATCTTAAATTGGTATTTTGTAAATTAAAGAATTAGGACTTTATAGATTAGTGATTAGAACCTATGGCGTTAAACATCTATAGTGTTTAATATTTATGGTGTTTAACACCTATGGTGTTTAACACCTATGGTGTTTAGCACCTATAGTGTTTAACATCTATAATGTTTAGCACCTATAGTGTTTAACACCTATGGTGTTTAGCATCTATGGTGTTTAGCATCTATGGTGCACTTTAGTAAACTTGATATATAATTATATATATATATAATATATAATTATATATATTATATATATGTAACATAAGATATCCAGCTAACACCCCTTCTAGGATATTACGTAATATCTGTCACGGCCCTAATAGCAAATAGGTAAGAACTATAATTACTATTTTTATAGTATTTTAAAACCAGTTAAAATATATACTAACAAGTTATGTATTCTTAATAGCTGCTATCTAAAAAAAACCAGAGTTAGAATAAATAAGCCTAATATATTTAATTATTATCAAAAACTTATAGATATGGGAAATATTAGAAAAATATAAAATGAATTAATAGAAAAAGAACAAATTTTTTCTAAGTAAAAGTTTTCTTAACTTTAAGCTTAAATATTTTAGCAATTATCTTATCAAACTTAATAATTTTTATTTTATTTTAATTTTTTACAATATCAAAAATAAAATAAAAAAATTTTGAGCAAATTTGATTATTAGTTGTTGAGATATTTTAATTTAAAAATTAAAAATATTTTACTAAAAATGATTTGTCACTTTTTATTGACTTCACTCTATATATCAAGTTGAAATAAATTTGAAAAAAGTTTTTAAATTGTATTTAAAATAAGCTGAATTGAGAATAAAATTTGCAAGTTATTGCTATCAAAATGAAATCAGAATAAAGAAAGATTTAAAAGAAGAAAATAAATATAAGGCTTCTAATAAATATTAAAAATCAACAAATATAGCCCAAGTTAATGAAACTTTAAACTTGGGTATAAGAACCAAAACAATATTTAAAAAAATAAATTTCACATATCAACTAATTATGAAAAGTTAGCAAATATAGCTTTTAAAACCAAGAAGAATGATAATGATCATATTAAAGTTAAAAAAGATAAAAATATAATACAGTTGACTCCCTCTAAGTGCAGCTCACCAGGACTTATAAAATTTTCTTAAATAAAAAAAAATTCTGTATTTAGAGAGAACCTGCACTTAGAGAATATAAGTTTATTGTAATTTTATATAGCTTGGGACCAAAAAAAAATCTGCATTTAAAAAGAATTTAATATGACCTGCACTCAGAAAACATGTACTTAAAGGGAGTCAACTGTATTTAAGTATTATTAAAAATTAGTTAATAAAATAATTCAACCAAAATTACAATGCAAAATGTTGCTCTATATTATTGAAATAGTGCTAGTACAAAAAAGATATTCAAAGTACAAGTTATTGGTTTAGAAAATATTAAGCTTTTTGAAAACTAATAAATTACCAAATTATCCCTTAATTAGTAGAGATTTGCAAACAAATTTGCCTGTATAATTACTATAAATATGTTTCTGATCTACTTTTTTAATTATTTAAAATATTTAAATAAAATTT